TGGCCCTATGGGGCTTTCATGGGAAAAATCCAGAAATGACTTTGCTTCTGCTTTACCTAGGTGGATCTTTCAATAAAGCTACACTCTTGGTCATTTTAAAGAACTGAGAGTTTTTTTGGTTGAATGTGCCAAATGGGACAGTTGATACCTTCCTCCTATCACTGCATAAAGGCTGATAAATTATTTAAAGCATTTTTCAAACTTCTGTTAAGAACAACTTAACAGTAATAATAATAATAATAATAATAATAATAATAATAATAATAATAAAAAATAATAATAATTCACTGCAAGAAACAAACCAACTAATGTACAGCACAGCTGCAGTTATAACTGAATACCTGGGATGCAAAATCAACAAAGAAGAAAAACAAACAAACAGTGCACCAGAAAAATGGAAGGTTAGACTAGAAAATAAGATCAGCAAGTTAAGATCACATGCAAGCAAGCTAGAACAGATGAAAGAAAAGAAGCTGAAGAACAAGAAGACCAAAGAATACCTAATCAAGAAATACCACTTAGAAACAAGGAAGATCAAGGAAGCACTGGAAATAATAAAGCAACAAATAACAGCTATAGCCAGGAAAATCAGTAGATATGAAGCTCAAATTGCAAACTATAGGCAGAACCTCCAATTTCAATCCAATCAGAAACGTTTCTACCAATCCATCAATGGAGAAACTGCAATGAATCAGTCAGTACCTGACAAGGAAGAAACAGTGCAGTTCTGGAAGCAGATATGGGATAACCCAAAGAAATACAACAAGGATGCGGCTTGGTTAAAAGAGGTGGATGCAAATAAAACAGAAGTTGAAATGAAAGAACTAGTAATAACAACAAAAATGGTAGAAAAAAGAGCAAAGAAAATCAAAAATTGGTCAGCACCAGGTGAAGATGAACTGCATGGGTTTTGGTTGAAACATCTAACTGTTATACACCCACTCATTGCCAAGCAGTTCAACAATATACTACAAGGAGGAGAAATTGAAAAGTGGCTAACAACTGGGAAAACCTACCTAATAATGAAAAATCCAGCAAAAGGGGCAACACCAGGCAACTACAGGCCAATTACCTGCTTACCAACAACTTTCAAATTACTAACTGGTGTGGTAGCTGATGCAGTACAACAGCATCTAGTTGAAACAATCTCTTTCCACCTGAGCAAAAAGGAAACCGCCCCAATAGCAGAGGAACAAAAGATCAACTCCTAATAGACAAAATGATCTTGGAAAACTGCAAGAAAAGGAAGACCAACCTGAATGTGGCATGGATTGACTACAAAAAGACATTTGACTCTCTGCCACATGACTGGATAATCAAGTGCCTAGAAATAACAGGAGTCAGTAGAAATATCAGAAAATTTGTGCAAAGATCGATGGCACAATGGAAGACACAGTTGCAGATCAATGGTGAGAGACTGGGAGAAGTTAATATCAAGACAGGAATATTTCAAGGAGATTCATTGTCACCATTACTATTTGTTATTGCACTGTTTCTTCTGTCAACAATACTGAATAACTCAGGACATGGCTATCAAACATCAAAAACATCTACCAGACTATCCCATCTCCTTTACATGGATGATCTGAAGCTGTATGGAAAAACATCATCTGAAATAGAATCGCTGCTCAACACTGTCCGTATATATAGCCAAGATATTGTTATGGAATTTGGCTTGGACAAATGTGCCACACTTACTATCAAACAAGGAAAAGTAGTGAAAGCTGAAGGAATCAAGATGCCCCATGAAAATAACATTAAGAATCTGGATGAGGAAGATTACTACAAATACTTGGGTATCCTTCAAGCTGACAACATCAAGCACACTGAAGTCAAGAAAAAGATTACAGGTGAATACATCAAGAGAGTGAAGAAGATCTTAAAGTCCAAACTAAATGGAGGAAATACCATAAAGGCAATCAACACCTGGGCAATTCCAGTCATTAGGTACACAGCTGGAATAGTGGACTGGACTCAAACAGAACTAAAAGCAATGGATAGGAAGACCAGAAAAATAATGACAATGAATCCACGCAGTGACATTGACAGACTATCTACCAAGGCAAATAGGTGGGCATGGAATGCTACAAGTACATCAGATGGTTGAAGAAGAAAAAATGGCTTTGGAAGAATATCTGAAGAACAATGATGAAGATGCACTGAAATTAGTATATCAGGCAGGCTTACTGACTACTGGAGAGACCAAACTGGCCTACAAGAAAGACCAAATGAAGAACAGAATAGAGGCATGGGAAGACAAAGCACTACATGGCCAATACATTACAAAAATATCTGGGAAAGCAGATATTAACAAGACCTGGCAATGGCTAAGAACAGGAAAATTGAAGAAAGAGACCGAGGGACTAATTCTGGCTGCACAAGACCAAGCCTTAAGGACAAATACATATAAAGTCAAAATTGAGAAGACAGCAACAGACAATAAGTGCCATCTATGCAACGAAGCTGAAGAAACAGTGGACCACCTGATAAGCTGTTGCAAGAAGATTGCACAGACTGACTACAAGCAGCGGCATGACAAAGTAGCAACAATGGTGCATTGGAAGATCTGCAAAAAATATGATTTGCCTGTAAGCAAAAACTGGTGGGATCATAAAATAAAAGTCATAGAAAATGATAAAATTAAACTGCTCTGGGACTTCAGAATTTAAACAGACAAGCACCTGCAACATAACACCCCAGACTTAACAATTGTCGATATGAAAGACAAAAAAGTCTGGATAGTGGACGTGGCAGTGCCTGGAGAAAGCAGAATAGACGAGAAAGAACTGGAGAAGATAACAAAATACAAAGACCTACAAATAGAAATAGAAAGACTGTGGCAAAAGCAAGCAAGGGTAGTACCAATAGTCATACGCGCCTTGGATGCAATCCCAAAACAACTGGAGCACCACTTGAACACCATTGGCATTGACAAATTCGCTATTAGTCAATTGCAAAAGGCGGCTTTATTAGGAACTGCTTCCATCCTGCGACAATATCTGTAATACCATCAAACATCCACATCTGCCTATCCCAGGTTCTGGGTAAGGACTCGATAGGTAGACAAAATGCCAAATCCAGTCTGTACATCTGGCTGACTGTGCGATGATCCAAAATAATAATAATAATAAAGTTGGAAGGGATCTTGGAGGTCATCTAGTCCAACCCCCTGCTCAGGCAGGAAACCCTATAATATTTTGGACAAATGGCTGTCCAGTTTCTTCTTAAAAACTTCCAGTGTTGGAGCATTCACCGCTTCTGGAGGCAGGTTGTTCCACTGGTTAATTGTTCTAACTGTCAGGAAGTTTCTCCTTAGTTCCAGGTTGCTTCTCTCTTTGGTTAGTTTCCACCCATTGCTTCTTGTTCTGCCTTCAGGCACTTTGGAAAATAGCTTGACTCCCTCTTCTTTGTGGCAGCCCCTGAGATATTGGAACACAGCTATCATGTCCCCTCTCGTCCTTCTCTTTGTTAAACTAGACATACCCAATTCCAGCAACCGTTCCTTATATGTTTTAGCCTCCAGTCGCCTAATCATCTTTGTTGCTCTTCTCTGTACTCTTTCTAGAGTCTCAACATCTTTTTTACATCATGATGACCAAAACTGGATGCAGTATTCCAAGTGTGGCCTTACCAAGGCATTGTAAAGTGGTATTAATACTTCACGTGATCTTGATTCTATCCCTCTGTTAATGCAGCCTAGCACTGTGTTGGCTTTTTTGGCAGCTGCACTACACTGCTGGCTCATATTTAAATGATTGTCTACTAGGACTCCAAGATCCCTCTCTCATTTACTACTATTGAGCAAGGTACCCCCTATACTATACCTGTGCATTTGGTTTTTCTTGCCTAAATGTAGAACCTTACTTTTTTCACCATTGAATTTCATTTTGTTAGATAACACCTAGTATTCGAGTCTGTCCAGATCCTCCTGTATCCTAAGCCTGTCTTCTGGATGATAATATATCTATTTACTTGATAAATTTGCCACCTTTCTCACATTCATGACTCTGAGCAATGTATAATTTAAAAAAATATACAACAAAATAACCAAAACTTAATAAAATTCATCAGAAATTATTTAAAAAGTAAAAGCCATTAAAAACCATTTTTTTAAAAAAATATTTTTTAGTCTTATTTACAAGGAAAGAAACTTTTGAGAATTTGAAAAAGTTATATTGACATGATATCCAAGGTCATTTCCAACTCTGTTATTATGTTGCTCTGTTATTTTCTTATTCATGATAAAACACCTTGGAAAGAAAATGCACAATTGTGAATATCCCAGGATAGGCATTTCCAACCTCATAACCAAATACAGGTAGTCGTCAGCTTACAAGCATTCATTTAACAATGGTTCAAAGTTACAATGGCCTCAGAAAAAGTGGCATACAACCCATCTTCAAAGTTTCACTATTCGTGTGATTGCAATCAGGCTCTTGGCAACCAGCTTGCATTTGTGACAGCTGAAGCATCTTGCGGTCATATGATTGTGATTTGCAGTCTTTCCAGCTGGCTTCTGACAAACAAGGTCAATTGGATAGCTGGATTCACTTATTTACGTCATTAAAATGGTCATAAAATCAAGTCCAATTCACCCTGGCTTACAATGGAAATTTCAGTCCCATTTGTGGTCATAAATCAAGGACTACCTTTATATTATCTCCCAGAACATTTGGAGATCAGCATTAGATCCATTACTGGAGTATTCATGGGTTTCAAACTCAATTTCACACTTGTATGAAATTAATTTGTCTATCTGTTTACAATGTGGTTGCCTGTGGTTGTTTATGCTTTGCCAGAATATAATTGTACAACTTCTTCTTTTAATTAACTATCCTTGCTTAATTGTCAAAAAAAGAAAAAGAAATATAATCAGACTCCAGGCCATTTCACAGCCACACTCACTGACTTGTTAAATCTGTATGTCAAGCAGGAACCAATTTACATAACATTTTTATCCTATCACTATAACATCCTATTTTTTCACATGGTGTACTCACTCATCCATGTCTTCTTGACAGCTTTCCCTCTTCATATTCCATTCCTGATCCTTCAAGTCTGTGGTCATGACTTCTGGGTTTTTGCAATTTCCATGTGCTTTCAAGATAACTATGCTTTAATATATCAATATCAAACCTCTTGCCAGTTGTTTCTGACAGCATTGTCAGCCTATGTCAGACTGAGTCTGCTTGCTTGAATTTCTAGGAGTTGAGATAAAATAACCCAAGAGGGCAAGAAAATAAAAAGGAAGCAAAGAAATTCCTTCATTCAATGTGATTAGAACCAGCGATGAATTAAATTCTTGAAAGAAAAAGAAAAGAAAAAAGAGATGGTGCTGGGCCTTGTACTGTCCTGAACACAAGGGGTTTTTAAGTAAATTTTAAAAATTAATATTTAAAAATTTTAAAAATCTATTTTCACGTACAAATTTCTGAATGACTTCATGATTAATTTTTAAAACTGATTCATGTATACATTTCTAGACAATCTATGAACAAGCTCTGCAGAAGTAAATTCTAAATTCCTCCTTCTTCTTGTTGTAAAATGCAGGAGTCCCCACCCATCCACCCCTGTTCCATGGATCAGTACCAGGCCATGGCATGACAGCAACTGGGCTGCACAAACGAGCAAAGACCCATCCACAAGATGCAGGCAGCACACAAAACCACACTCCCTCCAGTCTGCAGAAAAATCTCTCTCCATGGAACCAGTCCCTGGTGCCCAAAAGGTTGGAGATATAATGTCTGTATATAGCGCTTACATTTTAAACAAAGCAGAGAATGGAGTACCTTAACTGATTGACTGAAAGGCTTAGATCAAGTAGGTTACCCCAAAATAAGGAAAGATTCTATGTGTCTTCGAAGTCCTCTTAATCTTTCATTTTGCTTCTCAGGTTCCCGGAATTCCTTCTCTGCCAAGCTACACATCTGGAATTTTGTTAGGCTGCTCACTTGGTGGCTTTAATGTCTTTACTTTGGTAAATCACTAAAGCTATTTTCACATAGGTGACAAATACATCTGTAAAACAAATAAAATACTTAGTTTCAACTGTGAAAAAGCAGTAAAGTTTTGAGAATAAAGCATCACTCAATGATAAAGTTTAGAATTATCCCCAATCCATTTTTAAATGGGGAAGGAGGGGGAGGAGGAGGCTGAAATTTTAGAGACCAACTTCTAGCTTGAATCAATTTCTGGGTTTGAAAATGAAATGGCCTAAAGTACAAAGCAGCTTCATATGTCTATTTTTGTTTAGTGAATTATTTTACATGTTGTACTTCTCTCCACAATAGCCAGGGGCTATAGATACATATTTTAGTTATAATAAACAAATCTAAATTCATATTTAAAGTACACTTTAAGATTTCTCTAGAAATGATATTTCTGTTTGAATTGTGTGACACTTTAGCAGACAGTATGTGGTTATAGCTGGTTTTCTTAAAGGGGGAGAGACTTGTCTGTGACCATTTTGAGAACAGCACAGCTGGAAAGACAAATGTTGCCCTAACCTCCACCCACTGGAATCTGGTTGTCGGTTTAGTTAACATACCCGCTGGCTATTTAAACTGATCACTTAAGGAGTCAATAGCAAATTAAGTTGTTGTAAATTCCTTCACTCCCATCTCCTGCCAACAGCTGGCTCCCCTGCCTTTGTATTTCTCAATTAACTGACATCCAATTTTGCACAGATAGCATATGAAAGAATTAACTTTAGGAAACCAGCGAATACATGTGCCTTTTCTTCATCAAAAAGAGAGAAATGCTTCCCACCCACTCCAAGAGTTTAGCTTGACAATATTCAAATGTCTTGGTTGCAGGATATTCTTTCTCTATCACCTTTTCGGTGAAGGGACCATGCTTCTTTAAAAATATATTAGAATCCAGTCAGAATTGAAGGAGCTTCTTGGATGAGAAGTGAAATGTCTTCAAGGAAAAACAAAGTCCAATTGTCTTTTGAAAAAGCACCTTTGGGACAACTATGACCTGGATGACTGAGAATCTCCATAGACAGTTAGAACTCACAATTATCTCATGTGGTGTGATGTTCACTGGATCTGATTTTCAGGGTCAACTTTAGATATTTGACTGCTTGAATCAGAGCAGCAAATAGGCCCATCTCAAGCCAAGTACTCTCTTCTTCCCCACGCACCCAACAACTAATGAAATAACCAATCATCTGCTAGACTTTCATGCTATATGTTTCTGTACTGGATAGAAGGAATGACCTTGAAGAACAGAAGGAAGAGCTGCTAGGAAGATAATGGTAAGATCAAAGAAACTTGAGTCCAGGCCAGAACTTAATCTGAGAAAGCATCTCAGAAAGTATTCTTCCTAGTTTACATGAAGCTAAGGAAAAGTAAAAAAAAAAAAGATGTGGAGACTCTAGAAAGAGTACAGAGAAGAACAACAAACATGATCAGGGGACTGGAGGCTAAAGCATATGAAGAACAGTTGCTGGAATTGGGTATGTCTAATTTAATGAAGAGAAGGACGAGGGGTGACATGATAGCAATGTTCCAATATCTCAGGAGTTGCCACAATGAAGAGGGGGTCAACCTATTCTCCAAAACACCTGAAGGCAGGACAAGAAGCAATGGATGGAAACTAATCAAGGAGAGAAGCAATCTAGAACTAGGGAGAAATTTCCTGATAGTTAGAACAACTAATCAGTGGAACAACTTGCCTCCTGAATTTGTGAATGCTCCAAAACTGGAAGTTTTTAAGAAGAAATTGGACAACCATTTGTCTGAAATGGTATAGGGTTTCCTGCCTGAGTAGGGGGTTGGACAAAAAGACCTCCTAAGTCCCTTCCAACTCTGTTATTCTATTCTATATAATAAAATTAATATTAGGTTATATGACTTTGGTTTCCTAATCTGGTCTATCTTGAAGGGCTGACAGTTACCTGTGGTAGTTATCTCCTTTGCTTAACAATATTGGTAGGTCTGCATGGAAAAATGTGTTCCAATATGTGGAGGCATGCATATGATCCTTGGAAAAGATATGGATAGTTTAAGAAGTTGCAGACAGTTGATAGTTATAGTATATAACTGCCATACATTCTAAGTCATGTTTTTGCCTTTAGATCTGAAGTGCTCTTCGACTGTTATGCATTGCTGATTTCAGAAACTTCTGTCTTTGCTGGTCCTCTTAAAAAATAAGCATTACAGACTTCCTATGTAAGATGAAATTATGAGTAAGCCCATAACATTTTGAGTGTATTTTTTTAAAAAAAAAAAAACTAATTCCAACAGGATATTCCCAATTTACGTTCTATGTAATAACATAGGCTATTTGTTGAATCAGAATTATTGGCTCAAAAAAGGTCATTTGCCTTGCTCCTGACCAGAGCACAGATTTTTTTCTCCTCAAATATAAAAGTCTTGACATGGCTTTGGAAAGGTCTGAATATTTGACTAATTCTACTGTGACTTTAACGTGTAACACTTACGTTTGAGAAATGATGCCTTTATCTAGTTATCAACTCCAGAAAAATGACTTTTGCCAATTACCGCAGTTGCTAGCTTTTACCAATCTTTACAATCCAGTTTGGAAAATTCTATATTTAGACTTATTGTTCTTCCATTAGATGCATAGCCTGTGGTTTATGAATAGAACTGGATAGGTTATATTGAAATTGAATAGTCTGGTGGGGTTTTGGTCCAAGTCTGCAGGGTTTCATTACCTAGCCAGCTGTGGTTTCAGAGTCAACATTTTCTTTCTTATAATGTACTATTTTTAAAACTCTGATGAGAGCCTTCTAATCCAATTATTCTCTGTAGAAGTTCTCCACCTTATCAACTTCATCAGTAATTTTCATCCTATGCTGTTTCTCTCTCTGTCACTTGATCTGTTGTGTGAAGGCAGACATTGAACATTCATCATCTCACACTAAGCTACTCCATGCCCTCTTCTACAGAGTTAGGACTTCAGTTTAAAAGAAGGGAAATACCAGTCACAATTGTCTGAATATTTGTCCTAGTTAACTGTCTCATAATAATTTTAAACAAAAAACACAGAGCCTACTTTTGCTAGTATGATGACACAAGATCTAGAAGACCAGAAGAACCACCAGCAAGTCATCCAGTTCATAGTTGCTCCAAAGGTGCTTTTTCAAAAGACAACTGGACTTTGTTTTTCCTTGAAGACATTTTGTTTCTCATCCAAGAAGCTTCTTTGGATTGAATGGTGGACAATAGAAGGATTTATATTCCCTGCAGTTATCTGGTTGTTAGAACTCTTTCAGGGAGTTGTTGAGGCCACCTGGAAATTTATCTGTGCCCTCAGAATCACCTGAATAATACAAAAAGTTCCACACCCATTTGCACTATTCAGGTGAACCTGAGGACACAGATAAACCTCCAAATAGCCTCAACAACTCTCTGAAAGAGTGCTAACAACCAGATGACTGCAAGGTATATAAATCCTTCCATCCTCTATCGTTCAGTCAGAACTGAAGAAACATCTTGGATAAGAAGTGAAACATCTTCATGGACAAACAAAGTCCAGTTGCCCTTTTGAAAAAGCACCTTGGGACAATCACCCAATGTATTCTGCATTGAGTCAAATTTTGACATATAATATCTATGCATGCTACTGTGCCACTTCTGTGTGCTTATTCTATAGACCAGTCATTTCTAATGGGGCACTTTCCAGCTGAAGCTTAAGTAGTATTATAATGTGCTCAAGACTTGTATCCTATCACCACATATATTTAATGGAAGCATAGATCATAATTTAATAAACCCATAGGGAGGAATTTAATGCCAGTGGCATTATTGTACATCCACCCAGTTTAATAATTACAAATTTATTCTTTGCTGTTCATCCTAGCCATCACTTGAGAAATTATTAGCTATATAGCAAGTGAAGTTGGCATTTTTAATAATGGCATAAATGGCATTAAAATTTCTTTATGGCTGTGAGACCTGACTGGCTAGAGTTGAAGTGTGATAAACTATATAGTTTTAGCCATCACTATCTATATTACATCCTTGACACTGGTATCAAATTTCCAATAATGATCTGAAATGAGAAAGTCTGAAGACTTTCATTTGAATCTAATAACTATTTAATGAAAGATTCAACTATGGATTATAATCAAAACATTTTTATTTTTATTTTGGAAGGGGCAAAACTGGATGAAATGTAAAGAATTTAATTAAAATTTGGCAACTGAAACTAGATCAGTTGTGGGTTGAGAATGCTTGACAACCAGAACCCAAAGTTGACTTTCACCAGCTTCAATCAATCTCCATTAAAATGCCCCTGTGGTATATTCACCTAACAATTGCATCTAATCATGTGAGTACAGACAAATTATAAAATAAATAAACATCCCTGAGTGGATGAGTATAGAGATTAGATAAGCTCTACCCAAATTAATGATTAAATACAGTTGCTTTTCTGAAGTAAGACTTGGGGCTATATAGGGCACTACTTATAAATTGCTATTATAACTTTATCTTCCCTTTGATTTGTAATAAGCTTCTTTTAAGAAACAAAGTTCCTTGAGCCACTGGAGGATTATTCTCTCCATATAGACAATGAACATATGTATAAAATTAACAGGCTTGCCTTACAGAATAGACTAGAATATTATTTATTGGCCAAGTGTGGTTGGACCCACAAGAAATTTGTCTCTGGTGCATAAGCTCTCAGTGTACATACAAGCAACAGTGATAAATCATGATTATAATCAACATAGAAATACATTCATCATAAATCATAAGATGCAACACTTAATGATAGTCATAGAATACTAGATAGGTAAACAACATACATCATACTAGGATATTAAATGAAACAATATCAATCATAAGATACAAGCAACAAAGTTATAGTCATAAGAAGATAAGGAGATAGGTAATAGGAAAGATGATAATAATAATAATAATACAGGTTTACTAAACAGTTTGACAGTGTTGTAGGAATTAGTTGTTTAGCAGAGTGACAGCATGGGCATTATTAGGCATATCCTAATTTCATTAATATATGGTTCACGGGTATCATGCTCATGA